AAGGTTGTTCAGGTCGGTGGGGTCCAGGAAGGGTTTTTTTGAGTATGGGGGTGATGTGCGTGTGCTTTTGGGGGGAGGGGAATGCACCAGTAGAGAGGGAGGGATTGAAGATGTGGGTGAGGGAGCGTAGGATGGAGGAGGAGGGTGCCCAGAGGAGTTGTGTGGGGACAGGGTCAAGGGGGCAAGTGGTGAGGCGGGCTTCTGAGAAGACCTTGGTGACCTCCTCAGTGGTGGCAAGGCTGAAGGAGCGGAGTGTTGGGGAGGTAATAGTGTATGGGATGTTAGATGTGGTGGGGGGCAGGACGGTTGCGAGGTCAGAGGAGGGGAGATTTGGTGGGGTTATGGTGGGAGGGAGCCTAGGTGGGGAGGTAGGTTGAGCATTGGTGATTTCCTTATGGATTGCGTCAATCTTATTTTGGAAGTGATTTGCAATCTTGTGGGAGGTGAGTGAGGTACTGGGTGGGGGAGAGAGAGTAGGGAGTTGAAAGTGAAGAAGAGCTGGTGAGGACTGGAGGAGAGGGTGTTAATGAGGGTTACGAAGTAGGCATGTTTGGCGGCGTGGAGGGAGGAGGTGTAGGTGAGGAAGGCAAATTTGTAGAGGGAGAATGTTCGAGGGGATCTGGTTTTGCACCACAGTTGCTCCAGCGCACGACTACGTCGTTTAAGATTTTTAGTGTGGTCATTCTGCCAGGGTTAAAGCGGTCGGGGTCTAATGCTACGTGTGGTTAGGGGTGCTAAGGAGTCTAAGGCAGCTGACAGTGAGTCATTGTATGCAGTAGTGGCCAGGTCAGGACATGACAGTGGAAGGATACTATCGTACAGACTGTCAGCTACAGAGTGGAGAGGGGCCGGGTTCTGGTTGTAGAGGTTACGGCTGGTGATGGTTTGATGTTTGGGGGGAGGTGTTAGAAGACGGGGAGATGGAGAAGGTAATGAGGTTGTGGTCAGAGAGAGGGAAAGGGGTGTTTGTGAGGTTGTGGAGGGTGCAGAGATGGGAGAAAATGAGGTCCAGGGTGTTCCCTCCGTCAGTGTGGGTGGAGGACTGTGTGCACTGTGAGAGTGCAAAAGAAGAGGTTAAGTGGAGGAGTTGAGATGTAGCCGGGTTGTTGACATTGACAGGGATATTGAAGTCACCAAGGATGATGGTGGGTAGCTCAGAGGAGAGGAAGAAGGGCAGCCAGGCGGAAAAGTTGTCAAGGAAGCGGGATACGGGTCCAGGAGGCTGATAGATTACTGCAATCCTCAGAGAGGTGGGGGAGAAGAGTCGGATGCAGTGGGCCTCAAAGGAGGAGAAGGATAAAGAGGGGGGTTTGGAAGGACCTGGAACATGCTCAGCGGTGTCAAGAGCATGCAGACCCCACCACCTCTACGACCGCTCGGTCTGGGTGAATGGGACAAGACGAGACCTCCAAAGGAGAGTGCCGCAGGGGATGTGGAGTCAGTGACTTGGATCCAGGTTTCGGTGACCGCTAGGAGGTTGAGGGAGCGGGAGATAAAGAGGTCATGGATGGCAGTGAGCTTGTTGCAAACCGACCGATCGGGCGTTCAGGAGTGCAACCGAGAGTGGAGGGGTGGATGTGGGGAGGAGGGGGACAGGTATAAGGTTGAGGGGGTTGTGCCAGTTTGTGGGAGTAGGAGGGTGCCTAGTGGGTGAGTGAGGTGGTGAGGGGCCAGGGTTTGGGGAGATATCCCCGGCGGTAAGGAGGAGAAGGAGGGTGAAAAAGGTGGCATGGGAGCGGCATGTGCAAGAGCGTGTGGGTCTGTTAGTGGTGGCGTGTGGGTCGGTGGGAGAGTGGAGTATCAGGAGGAGGTGGTGAGAGCCGTATTGGGGAGAGGGAAGTAGTGAGGGTCTGATGTATAGTAGTTTTGGGGGAGTAGGGGGGTAGAGGGAGGGGATTTTGTGAATGGAAGAGAGGAGTACGAGGAGGAGGAGTACAGGTGGCATATTAGGAGGGTGAGCGGAGTGCTGATCAGTTGAGGGAGATTAAAAGTTTCACATCAGGGCGTATAGATGCAGAGGGGCTGTGGAGCATTGCTGGAGGAGTCCATCTGTGGGAGGTGAGGGAAAGTGGTGGGCAGCTGGGTCTGCTGCTGGCTTGTCACGGCAGTCTGTGGGTGCTGTAAGCCAGCGTCTGGAGGTGCTGTAGGGCATGGCATCTGGAGGTGCTGAGGGGCGAAGGGCACAGCATCTGGAAGTGCTGTAGGGCATGGTGTCTGGAGGTGCTGTAGGACACGGTGTCTGGAGGTGCTGTAGGGCACGGTGTCTGGAGGTGCTGTAGGGCACAGTGTCTGGAGGTGTTGTAGGGCACAGCGTCTGGAGGTGCTGTAGGGCACGGCGTCTGGAGGTGCTGTAGGGCACGCCGCCTGGAGGTGCTGTAGGGCACGGTGTCTGGAGGTGTTGTAGGGCACAGCGTCTGGAGGTGCTGTAGGGCACGGCGTCTGGAGGTGCTGTAGGGCACGCCGCCTGGAGGTGCTGTAGGGCACGCCGCCTGGAGGTGCTGTAGGGCACGGTGTCTGGAGGTGCTGTAGGGCACGGTGTCTGGAGGTGTTGTAGGGCACGGCGTCTGGACGTGTTGTAGGGCACAGGGTCTGGAGGTGCTGTAGGGCACGGCGTCTGGAGGTGCTGTAGGGCACGGCATCTGGAGGTGCTGTAGGGCACGGCGTCTGGAGGTGCTGTAGGGCACGGTGTCTGGAGGTGCTGTAGGGCACAGTGTCTGGAGGTGTTGTAGGGCACGGCGTCTGGAGGTGCTGTAGGGCACGGCATCTGGAGGTGCTGTAGGGCACGGCGTCTGGAGGTGCTGTAGGGCACGGTGTCTGGAGGTGCTGTAGGGCACAGCGTCTGGAGGTGCTGTAGGGCACGGCGTCTGGAGGTGCTGTAGGGCACGGCGTCTGGAGGTGCTGTAGGGCACGCCGTCTGGAGGTGCTGTAGGGCACGGTGTCTGGAGGTGCTGTAGGGCACGGTGTCTGGAGGTGTTGTAGGGCACGGCGTCTGGACGTGTTGTAGGGCACAGGGTCTGGAGTTGCTGTAGGGCACGGCGTCTGGAGGTGCTGTAGGGCACGGCATCTGGAGGTGCTGTAGGGCACGGCATCTGGAGGTGTTGTAGGGCACGGCGTCTGGAGGTGCTGTAGGGCCTGGCGTCTGGGGGTGCTGTAGGGCCAGCACTTGTGGGTGCTATAGGGCCTGGCATCAGTGGGAGCAGTAGGGTCTGGCGCCTGTGGGTGTTGTAGGGCCCGGAGTCTGTGAGTGCTGTAGGCCACGTGGCAGGCTCGCATGATGGGGCTGTGCGGTGGCGGGGCACAGGGGGCGGCTGTGTAGCACACGGTGGGGAACAGGGGAGCTATTCTGGTGGTGGCGGCTTACCCGTTCTGGTGGTGGTGGACATGCGGGTGGAGGTGCTGTCGTGCGGGCCGTGGCTGCCTAGGTGGTGGTGCTGCTGCTGTTTGGGTTTCCTGAGATGGTCTTTAGAGCCTTTTGTATAGTTTGGCTGCTGTCTGCCTGGTGTGGTCCCTGGAGCGTTGCTTGGCTGCTGTCTGCCTGCTGTGGTCCCTGGAGCCAATGGAGAGGGCCAGGGGTCGCATGGGAAAGACCACCTTGCAGCGTGTCAGAGAGCAGGATTCGAGAGACGGAGCAGCGGCGCGATTCGGCCCGTGATTTCATGCGAGGTTGCGGCTTCATAGGTCGCAGTAGGCCGTGATTTCGGAGGGGGCCCAAATTGCTCGGCACCCCTCCCAGATTGGTTCATCAGGGGCTGCAGGTGCTTCGGGGCCCTTGTAGTGTCCGCTGCTGCCCGGATGGCAGTGGATTAGGCAGTGGGGCAGTGGGGCGATGGAGCTCTGGGATCTCGTGGCTCACTTGGTCGCCATCTTGGTGCAAAGATCATTCAGAAGGCTAGTGATTTGGGTGGAGACTGAGGAGTGAGGCAAGGGGGTAGAGAGATAGATTTGATTATCATCGGCATAGAGATGGTAGTTGAAGCCATGGGAGTGTATCAGTTGACCAAGGGAGGAGGTGTAGATGGAGAAGAGAAGGGGCCCGAGTACAGAACCTTGGGGGACCCCAACAGAGAGGGGGAGTGAGGGGGAGGTGGCAGTGTTATAGGTAACACTGAAGGAGTGTTGAGATAGCTAGGAAGAGAGCCAGGAGAGAGCGAAGTTGCTGAGGCCAAAAGAGTAGAGTTTTTTGAGGAGGAGGGGGTGGTCAAAAGCTGCAGAGAGGTCGAGGAGTAGTAGCACTGAGTAGTGGCCATTGGCTTTGGCGGTTAGCAGGTCGTTGGTGAGTTTGAGTAGGGTGGTTTCGGTGGAGTGTAGGGGACGGAAGCCAGATTGTAGGGGATCAAGGAGGTTGTTGTCGGTGAGGTGGGAGCTTAGGTGATTTATGACTTTAGTTAGTGGCGGGGGATGGGGGGATATTTAGGGGGATTGGAATATCTATGTCTTTGTTTCATAAGATGCAAATAGGAAGAAAGAGAGAAAAATGTCATTTGTAGTAAATGTCCTGAACACAATGGACACCGTCCTCCACTCACTCTGATGGGAATACATTAGACCTTTTTTTCTCCCATCTTTGCACTCCCTACAACCTCACAAACACCCCCTTTCCTCTCTCTGATCACAATCTCATCACCTTCACAGTCTCCTCGTCTTCAAACACCTATCCCTCCAAGCAGCCAACAATTACCCACAGAAACCTTCACAACTTGAACCCGGCTCCTTTCCACTCTGCAACTGACCAACTCTATGACAGAATCTCTCCCCTGTCCTGCCCTGACCTGGCCACTGCTGTCTATAACAGTTCACTGTCACCCACACTGGACTCACTTGCTCCTCTAACCACACGAAGCATCAGGCCCCGACCATTACATCCGTGGCAGACTGACCACACCGGACATCTTAAGAGACATAGTCGTGCGCTGGAGCGATTGTGGTGTAAAACCAAATCCCAGCAAGCATTCACCCGATATAAATCTGCTTTCTTTACATACAATTCCTCCCTCCATGCTGCCAAACAAGCCTACTTTGTCACTCTCATCAATACCTTGTCATCATCCAGTCCTCGTCGTCTCTTCTCTACTTTTAACTCTCTACTTTCTCCACCTTCCCTTCCACCCAGCACCTCCACCTCCACCCAGTACCAGCACCTTCACCTCCACCCAGAACCTCATTCACTGCTATGAGATTACAAATCATTTCAAAAACAAGATTGATGCAATTCGTAGGGACATCACCACTGCAGAGACATCCCACTTGGCATACCTTATACTAAACCTTATATAAAAAGTGCAGCGCTATAAAACTATATAAAGTTGTCATACATATATAAATAACACAATAGTTAAATGTGATTTAAAATAGTCCCAGCAAAGGTGACTTGGAGTAAAAGTGTACACTAACCAGATGTGCACATTAAAAGTGCAATGTAGAGATCATAGAGCTCATGGAGTAATCATCAGAATGGAAATGGTGTTCCTTTGGTCAGTGTAGATCCCCGGGTGGTGCAGAGTTGGACAGGAAGAAAAACTCTTGATAACCGAACCAGAGCGAACGTTGATCCACCAGAAGAAACACGACTCCGCCACTGGGCACGCTTTCAGCTCTCCAGACAGGAATTTTCTGATCCCCAGGCCAGAGCTCTCGGCCTGGGGATCAGACAAGACCTTTGCTGGGACTATTTATACTCACATTTAACTATTGTCTTATTTATATATGTATGACAACTTTATATAGTTTTATAGCGCTGCACTTTTATATATAACTTCTTATGAGGATTTTGTTGGTTATCCTGTGTGCCTAGCTGCTTGAATTTTGTAAAAAGCGCTCACTTATTTCTTTATTTTATTCTTATACTAAACCTCCCTCAACACTTTCCTCTTTTTGACCTCGCTACTACCAAAGAGGTCACTAAGGTTTTTTAGAAGCCTGTCTCACTACCTGCCCCTTGGATCCTGTCCCCTCCCAACTACTACGGTCACCCTCTTCTTCCATCCTATGCTCCCTCACTCACATCTTCAATCTCTCTGTCAGGGACCATCGACGACGCATGGGTCTACACATGCGTAGGTGTCTGTCAAGACATGCAGGCAGCAGGGCACTAGGACCCAGGTGCACCCATCGTCTATGACAGTACTGGGCAGGCACTAGGACCTAGGCTGCCCCTGCCAGGTGCAGGGCGTGCTACTTAAACCAGCCCTGCACAGACACTTGTTGCCGAATGGTCTTTGTGTATCCTGTTGCCTGTGTTGTGAGTACTCTGATCTGGATTGTCTGACCTTGTTACCTTCTCCTGTCCTGACCCCTTGGCTTGCCTGACTCTGCTCCTGGATGCTCCCTTGTAGATCTGATCTTCTGGTATTGACCCTGCGTGTGACCCGACTATCCCTTGCCTACCGTCTTGTACTGCACCGACCCACTAGTTACCGACACGGCCTGTTTGACTCTGATCTTTCTCATCCATCCATCCCTCAGGGATCCCCGGGCTCCCTCACATCAGACTCTTAACCCACAGGAGCCTCTGGCAGACTCCTCTACCTCTGGTAGAGATACCTGATAGCTGTGACCTGGTCCCGGAACGCTCCAAGTCCATCCTCACCATCAGGGGCCCTGGTGAACAAGTGTTCCGGTACTTAGACTCCGCACTCTGGGGAGGCTCTATCAGGGGACTGATAGAGGTGCTGTCAGGTGGTCCGTTACACTCTCTCTCTCTCTAACGGTGCCTTCCCCTCCCCTCTAAAGCATGCACACATCACTCCCATACTTAACAAGCCCTCCCTGGACCCCACCAACCTGAACAACTTAAGACCCATCTCCCTGCTGCCATTTACCTCTAAATTCCTAGAACGCTTAGTCTACAATCCCCTGAGCTCCCACCTCACTGACAACAACCTTCTTCACCCTTTACAGTCTGGCTTTCCCTCACTACACTCCACTGAAACTGCCCTACTAAAACTCACTAATGATCTACTAACTGCTAAAACCAATGACCAATACTAATCCCAACCAATGGTCACTACTCCATGCTCATCCCAACCAATGGCCAACGTACTAATCCCAACCAATGGCCACTACTCCGTACTCATCCCAACCAATGGCCACTACTCCGTACTCATCCCAACCAATGGCCACTACGTACTAATCCCAACCAATGGCCACTACTCCGTACTCATCCCAACCAATGGCCACTACTCCATACTAATCCCAACCAATGGCCACTACTCCATACTCATCCCAACCAATGGCCACTACTCCGTACTCATCCCAACCAATGGCCCATTACTACATAATAATCCCAACCAATGGCCACTACTCCGTACTAATCCCAACCAATGGCCACTACACCGTACTCATCCCAACCAATGGCCACTACTCCGTACTCATCCCAACCAATGACCACTACTCCGTACTTATCCCAGCCAATGGCCACTGCTCAGTACTCATCCCAGCCAATGGCCACTACTCCATACTCATCCCAACCAACGGCCACTACTCCGTACTAATCCTAAGCAATGACCACTACTCCGTACTCGTACTCATCCCAACCAAGGCACTACACCGTAGTCATCCCAACCAATGGCCACTACTCTGTACTCATCCCAGCCAATGACACACTACTCCGTACTTATCCCAGCAAATGGCCACTGCTCAGTACTCATCCCAGCCAATGGCCACTGCTCAGTACTCATCCCAACTAATGGCCACTGCTCCGTACTCATCCCAACCAATGACCACTACTCCGTACTCATCCCAACCAATGGCCACTACTCCGTACTCATCCCAACCAATGGCCCACTACTCCGTACTCATCCCAACCAATGGTCACTAACTCCATACTCATCCCAACCAATGACCACTAATCAATACTAATCCCAACCAATGGCCACTACTCCGTACTAATCCCAACCAATGACCACTACTCCATACTCATCCCAACCAATGGTCACTACTCTGTACTCTTACTACCTGACTTCTCTGTGGCTTTTCATACTGTTGACCATCTTCTCCTTCTCAAAAAACTCCACTCCCTCTTGGCCTCCGAGACTCTGCTCTCTCCTGGCCTCTGAGACTCTGCTCTCTCCTGGTCCTCCTCATACCTGGTTACCCTTCTTTCTCTCCTTCGAGCTACCCACCATCATCCTTGGGGATTTCAACATCCCTGTCAACATTGAAAACCCGGCCTCATCCCAGCTCCCTCCACTTAACCTCCTCCTTTGCACTCACACATTGCATACAATCCACCACCCACTCTGACAGAAATATCCTGGACCTTGTCTTCTCCTCCGCTCAGTGTTCTCCACCCCTCTCTGCCAATCCCTCCACTGGCCTCCATTCAGTGTCCTCCACCCCTCTCTGCCAATCCCTCCACTGCCTTCCCATTGCCCAATGGATAAAATTCAAAACATGAACAATAACGTATAAGGCCATTTATAACTCTGCCCCAAATTACATCACCAATCTTGTCTCCAAATATCAACCAAACCGTACTCTCCACTCCTCCCATGACATCCTGCTCTCTAGCTCCCTTGTCTCCTCCTCCCATGCTCACCTCTAGGACTTCTCCAGAGCTTCCCTCATCCTCTGGAACTCTCTACCCCATTTTATCAGACTATCGCCTACTTTGATAACTTTTAGGCAATCTCTGAAAACCGATCTCTTGAGGGAAGCCTATCCTGTCCTCAGCTAATAATGGAATCTTCTACTGTTCCAACCAGTCCATCCCCCACAGTTACTACCTTTTGTACTACTAGCCCCTCCCTCCTAGATTGTAAGCTCCCAGGATCAGGGCCCTCCTAACCCTCTTGTATTGAACTGTATTGTTGCTGTATTGTCTCCCGTTATATTGTAAAGCGCTGAGCAAACTGTTGGCGCCATAAATCCTGTATAATAATAATACTAATGTCCTGAAACCATATTTCTTCATAATGATCCCAGTCTCAGATATTCATCTAAAATGAGAAATATGATGTGTCCTGGCAAGTCCAAAGACAAAGTTTATCTTTCATGTTTGGAGAGGTGGGATGAACCTGGGAGCAATGTACAGAAACCTCACAGAGTGCCCCCCCAAAGCTCCTCCCCCCAAAGCTCCTCCTCCCAATGTCAGAGAATCATATGACATCACACTGACCTCACAGCTCCTCCTCCCAATGTCCCTCCATCCAGAGTCAGAGAATCCTATGACATCACACTGACCTCACAGCTCCTCCTCCCAATGTCCCCCTCCATCCAGAGTCAGAGAATCCTATGACATCACACTGACCTCACAGCTCCTCCTCCCAATGTCCCTCCATCCAGAGTCAGAGAATCCTATGACATCACACTGACCTCACAGCTCCTCCTCCCAATGTCCCTCCATCCAGAGTAAGAGAATCCTATGACATCACACTGACCTCACAGCTCCTCCTCCCAATGTCCCTCCATCTGGATTTTTTCTGATTCTCTTAGGATGTGGGGTCCCTTGGTATCCTCACATGTAAAGTGGGACTGTTGGTCCTGCGTTGTATGTAATGACATCAGAATGCTGCAACAAGCCTATACCCTGCGTAGTGTGGGGGTCCTGTGGGGGGGAATTATACCTCAGCCTGAAGTGGGGCTTTAATAAAATGGAGACCTGAATGGAGAGGTGAGGAGGATTCTGGGAATATCATTTGATGTGACTATTTGTGTTCAGATGTAGAGTTTTCCTCCTGTGAAGTCTGGAGATCATATGACATCACATTGCCTCCACCTCCCTCCCTGATAGAAGAGAGAAAGAAGAAGAAGATTCTAGAAGTCACCAGAGAGATCACTGAGCTGCTGACAGGAGAGGTGAGCGGTGCCGGGAATTCTGGGACATTCTCCAGTAACAGACAAGGGATGTGTCTGGATGGTGACTGTATCATTGTGTGTGTCAGGTTCCTATAAGGTGTCAGGGTGTCACTGTCTATTTCTCCATGGAGGAGTGGGAGTATTTAGAAGGACACAAGGATCTCTACAAGGACGTCATGATGGACAATCAGCCGCCCCTCACATCACCGGGTAAGAGGAGACTTTATTGTAAAGGAGAGAGCAGTACGGAGGATCCACCTAGATCCCCCCCATCATCTGATAAACACATAGAAACAATGGATTCAGTCAGTGTGTGTGTTTCCTACAGATGGATCCAGTCATGGGAACCCACCAGAGAGATGTCCCCGTCCTCTGTATTCCCGGGATTCCACACAGGAAGGTCACACCATCCCTCACCATCATCAGGTAGATGAGGAAAAATCACTGATAGTATCATTAGGATCTGTACATACATCTGCAGTGTTACCATTGATGACATTTTTATTATATATTCAGAGTGGAAACCTGAGAGATCCTAAAGTTGAGGTTAAAGAAGAGATAAAAGAGGAGGAGGATGAGGATGGGGGGATGGAGGAGTCAGAGCTTCTACAGGGACACAAAGATCTGTACCAGGACACCATGGAGGAGTCATCCAGCTACAGGAACCCCCCAGAGAGATGTCCCCGTCCTCTGTATTCCCGGGATTCCACACAGGAAGGTCACACACCATCCCTCAATATTACAAGGTCGGTGGGATGGAGAACATCTAGAATGGATTCATAGAGACAATGTGTGGAGTTTTTTTTATGTGACCTTATATTTTCAGATGATATTTTCTGTCATTTCCTTGATTTAGAGTGGAGATCCAATCGATATAGAATTTGAGGTGAAAGCAGAAGAAGAAGAGGCGTATGTGAGGGATGATCAGCAGTCTATGGAGGAGGATGGAATAACGGGGACATTTATAGAGGAGGACACTCCTACAGAGATCAGCACAGGTGGGTCATGAACACTAAATCCATTCCTCCACCCATACTGCTCACTGATTGGTCCAGAGTAGGGCGGGGACTGGGTGATATCAGCCTGTAATCCCCTGGTCACTTTCCTGAGCTGTGTTCCCCGTCCTGTATTCCTGGATTTCTCTCGGATAATCTTCCTTCTCTGTGCTGCAGACACAATTTATGTATCTAGACTGGATTTATGGAGGTTCTGGGGTTCAGCTGGCAGAAAAATGTTGATTTTTCCTATAAGCATTGCATAATGTAGGCACCCAGGACATGTGACTGGGGTCTCCTGCCTTGTGCCTGACTCCTCCAGGGGACCTTCTCTGTTATCTGCTGGCTGTGCCGGGTGGAGGGATATGTCTGTAGTGTCTCAGACCCAAGTCACTGAGTGCAGTCTCAGGAGATGGGAAGCAGCGGTGTGGGACCTACATAGTTACATAGTTAGTCTGGCTGAAAAAAGACAGTCCATCTAGTTGTACCATTAAAAATAAAACTTATAATCCGACACCCACAGCTGATCCACCAGAAGGCAAAAACCCAGCAAAGCACGATCCAATCTGCTCCTGCAGGGGAAACAATCCCTTCCTGATCCCCCGAGAGGTAATCGGATATTCCCTGGATCAACTTTCCCTATACAGTGGGGACTGAAAGTTTGGGCACCCCAGCTAAAAATTTGTATTAATGTGCATAAAGAAGCCAAGGAAAGATGGAAAAATCTCCAAAAGGCATCAAATTACAGATCAGACAATTCATTTTATTTCCATCATTTACACTTTCAAAATAACAGAAAACAAAAAATGGCGTCTGCAAAAGTTTGGGCACCCTGCAGAATTTATAGCATGCACTGCCCCCTTTGCCAAGCTGAGACCTGCCAGTGTCATGGATTGTTCTCAATCATCGTCTGGGAAGACCAGGTGATGTCAATCTCAAAGGTTTTAAATGCCCAGACTCATCTGACCTTGCCCCAACAATCAGCACCATGGGTTCTTCTAAGCAGTTGTCTAGAAAACTGAAACTGAAAATAGTTGACGCTCACAAAGCTGGAGAAGGCTATAAGAAGATAGCAAACCGTTTTCAGATGTCAATATCCTCTGTTCGGAATGTGATTAAGAAATGGCAGTCATCAGGAACAATGAAAGTTAAAGCAAGATTTGGAAGACCAAGAAAAATATCAGACAGAACAGCTCGCAGGATTGTGAGAAAAACAATTCAAAACCCACGTTTGACGGCACGATCCCTCCAGAAAGATCTGGCAGACACTGGAGTTGTGGTACACTAATCCACTATAAAGAGATACTTGTACAAATATGGTCTTCATGGAAGAGTCATCAGAAGAAAACCTCTTCTACGTCCTCACCACAAAAATCATCGTTTGAACTTTGCAGATGAACATATAGACAAGCCTGATGCATTCTGGAAACAAGTTCTGTGGACCGATGAGGTTACAATTGAACTTTTTGGCCGGAATGAGCAAAGGTACGTTTTTAGAAGAAGGGGCACAGAATGTAATGAAAAGAACCTCTGTCCAACTGTGAAGCATGGGGTTGGATCAATCATGCTTTGGGGTTGTGTTGCAGCCAGTGGCACAGGGAACATCTCACGAGTAGAAGGAAAAATGGATTCAATAAAATTTCAGCAAATTTTGGATGGTAACTTGATGCCATCTGTGTGAAAAAGCTGAAGTTAAAGAGAGGATGGCTTCTACAAATGGGTAATGATCCTAAACACACCTCGATATCCACAGGGGATTACATCAAGAGGCATAAACTGAAGGTTTTGCCATGGCCTTCACAATCTCCTGACCTCAACATAATTGAAAATCTATGGATAGACCTTAAAAGAGCAGTGCGTGACAGACAGCCCAGAAATCTCAAAGAACTGGAAGACTTTTGTAAGGAAGAATGGGCAAAGATACCTCAAACAAGAACTGAAAGACTCTTGGCTGGCTACAAAAAGCGTTTACAAGCTGTGATACTTGCCAAAGGGGGCAGTACAAGATATTAACTCTGCAGGGGCCCAAACTTTTGCAGACGCCATTTTTTTTGTTTTCTGTTATTTTGAAAGTGTAAATGATGGAAATAAAATCTAACTTTTGTTGACATATCATAAGAATGTCTAATCTGTAATTTGATGCCTTTTGGAGATTCTTCCATCTTTCCTTGGCTTCTTTATGCACATTAATACAACTTTTTAGCTGGGGTGCCCAAACTTTCGATCCCCTCTGTAAATGTTATATCCAGTTATATTCTGTGTACCAAGAAAGAATCCAGAACTTTCCTACAGCAATCCCCCCTTATGTATTATACATGGAGATCATATCCCTCCTTATGTATTATACATGGAGATCATATCCCCCCTTATGTATCATACATGGAGATCATATCCCCCCTTATGTATCATACATGGAGATCATATCCCCCCTTATGTATTATACATGGAGATCATATCCCCCCTTATGTATTATACATGGAGATCATATCCCCCCTTATGTATTATACATGGAGATCATATCCCCCCTTATGTATTATACACGGAGATCATATCCCCCCTTATGTATTATACATAGAGATCATATCCCCCCTTATGTATTATACATGGAGATCATATCCCCCCCTTATGTATTATACATGGAGATCATATCCCCCTTATGTATTATACATGGAGATCATATCCCCCCCTTATGTATTATACATGGTGATCATATCCCCCCTTATGTATTATACATGGTGATCATATCCCCCTTATGTATTATACATAGAGATCATATCCCCCCTTATGTATCATACATGGAGATCATATCCCCCCTTATGTATCATACATGGAGATCATATCCCC